TTGTTGTCTTTGAACTCCTCTTTAGCACATTTTCTCTATTATTGTCTTAGGTTACCAGTACTTTCAGGGGCTGAGATGAGGTAGAGGCAGGGCAGTCGACTCAGGACCAGAAAGTCCCAGGCTCGATCCCCAACCATTCCCATATGCTGTGGTGTCTCTGAGCAAGACACCCAATCCCCAATTGCTCCCTGGGTTCTTACATAGCCGCCCGCTGCTCCACCTGGGTGTATCTCTGGTGTGATAGGTTAAATGCAGAGAACTAATTTCGCCATAGTATGGGAACATACAATGATGACAACACATAGCACTTACTTATTATTTTAGCTACCTGTCTGCTACTTTTAGCTTGTAACTAGCATTTGGACATTTTTAGCTTTTAGCTAGATTTTTTAAATACTTTTAGCTTGTAACTAGCTTTAGGATTCTAGATAGGCTTTTGCTACTTTGGTTTTTAGTTAGCCTTTTCTAATTTTAGCTCAAGTTTTGCAACATTTAGCTCTCAATGATACAAGGAGAGAGAAATGTGTACTAGGAAGTAGCCTCATGAAACAGTCACTGTGACAAAAAAACCTACAAGCTGTATAGAAAATAATCCCTAAACTGCAATTGGCAGAAAAATATGGTTGTCACATAAGTCAATTTTTTTATGTGTGGAAGTTGTTTTATGTAGGAGTTGTGACAAGTTGAAAAGATGCTTCGCATCCAATTTTGCAGAAAAAAATCAGAGCTCAGATACAATAAAAGTCAATGAGAGTTTGGATGTGCAAACTGCATTCTCAGGGGACTTGAGAGAATGTTATAAGAAAAATAGAAGCATAAGACACCCGAGTGAAAAACAGCAAAAAATATGTATGCTTTCATGAATTAGAACAATAAAGGTTTTTTTTTTTTTTTTGGGGGGGGTGTGGGTGTTTGTTTGCCAAACTTCTAGAAAAGTTTAGACAGCTCAAAAGTTTAGAGAACATGACATCATTGCACACATTCTGTTGTAAATTCCTTGAAAATCCTAAAACTTAATTTGTGATTGTGAAAAAAAAACCATAAAAAATATTAATATGCATATTCAGTCATGTAAGTCCAACTTCTTGTAATCTGTTTAAACGTTAAATGACGTTTATATAAAGAAACTGTCTGAACTTTTGAGTTCCAAACAGGGTTATTTTTTCAGCACTTTTTTTTTTAAAAACCAAATTAACTTTGTTCTGTAGTTGGATTTTTATTTTTATTTTTTACCTTTTTTTTTTTCTTGGGGTGGGGGGTATTTTGTTTACAGCATATAACATTCTTCCTGAAAGTCACAGCGCTATATTCTCAACTGAAATGCATATATTTTTGTTGTTGTTGTTGTTTTTCCGTAGCTGCTGGAGAAGTAGCAAATCAAAATGTAGATAAAAATAGTGGCAGAAGAGTCATATGAGTCATGACTCAGCGAGACTAACCTGGATAAATAAAGGTAGAACGAATGAGTGCTTCATTGGCACTCTAAATTAGTCTGGTTCTTTAACGTGCATAAGTGCACAAGAACTTCCCAAAACATACAGAAAAAAATGGCTTAACAATATTTAAAAATGTGCCAAGATAGACCTCACATTTTTTACAATGTTACTATGTGGCCATCACAACCTAAAAGAGAAAGAAATGAAAAGTGTTGAGCACATGCACATTCAAAGAGAAAGTAAAATAGATGGAAAGTTGTGTGTAAAGGCTGACATGTCTTCGTGTCTATAAATAGCCCAGAGAGGCTGACAGTCAGGAACAAAGCACTTTACACCAGCTCTTCTGACAAGCAGAGGACCACAAGGACAACCAGGCCATGCGTGTATTCCTGTATGTCTGTGTCTCACAAAGTTTTACCACACACGCTCCCAAGACAATTGTCACCCTCCAGAGACTTTAATTAGCATCTGCACCTAATTCATTTTTATAATTTGCACCTTTACTACCTTTATTATTTCCGCTTTGCATTTTCAACTCATCTGTTGACTCCTTCTGCCATCTCTTTTAAAGATCGCTCTAGTTTGAAACCACAAATGAGTGTTTTTTTTTGTTGTTTTTTTTATCTCTGCAGATTTTGCTTCACATGTACATCCTATCGTCTACTATCTTTCACCTCCCTCCTTCCCTTCTAATCTTTTTATAGCTTCCTTTTCCTCCCCAGTTCTATCAGATCACAGATAGCTTCTCGCTTTCTCTGAGAGCAGGCAGACCTGTTACCTGCCTGAGAGGAATCCCTTAAAAGCTGGGTGTGCTCTGAAGGCAGAGCAGGCTCGCACATTCCAAATCAATCTAATTTGGTCAATTAAAGTTGAACAAACTCATTTATCAGCGTCCGATCTTCAGTTGCTCACTCCCTGAAGCAAGACGGGGTTTTAGCTGAGGAAGAAAAGCTGCTACTCATTTTTGATCATGCAGATTATGCTCAGTTAACGTCATCTCCCAATTTGGATTTTCGTCTGACTAAAGATCTGTGCAGATTTCATGCAGCTAAGTCTCTACTTTTATCATCTCGGATTGAAATCTCACCTCCAAAACCCGTCCACTGATGTATCTGTTGCAGGTCTCACATTTCACCCCGAACTGGGCGTGATAATCTGCTTCACAGTATGGCACTCCATCCCTGCAACAAAACATAAAATAAATAAATAGCCAACGGTGCAGTTTACTCGAACTTGGAAGGATAATCTGGTCATAGACTGTCAAACAGTTATCAATAGTAACTCATCAGCCGTGACATCAATCATAGAGCTCATAGTATGAAGAAAAGGGCAGTAGGCGTCCTCCAGCTACGTAAGCACATTGCGAGCCAACTCGTTCTCAAAAATATCACTCTGTTGTTAAGGAACGATACATTAACGATTATTGAACCTCTAAACTGTTGTATGGCATAATTTATTTAGTTTGTTGCTGTTCTGTCAATAGAACAACATCAGTGTTCCTACACTAATATCAGTGTCCTGAGGCTGCTGAATATATCAGTTTACCTGATCAATGAGTTCAAAAGTTTACTAAACTCTTGGCAGACTGACACATTCAACAGCTAATATAGTTATTTTGCATTTGTATGACAATTATGAGAAATTGTGTTTTTGATAAGCCTGAGAAATGATATAAACAAGATATCCATATGTTACAATGTATAAAGGTTGAATGAATGTTGCTAAGGGATATCCTGATGCATGCTCAATAATCCAGGTAGAAAAATCCAACAAAGTTTAATCTGGTCCTCTGGACATTCAAAAAAACAAAAAACAAAGCAAAAAAATCTAGAAACGTTTCGTCTCTCATCCAAGAGACTTCCTCAGTCTGAGGTGCTATTTTCAGCTCAGTCTCTTAAATAGCACCATCTCAGAGTGGATCAACCAGTTTGCTGCTGACAACCAAAACCAGCTGATCACATGCTCAAGAAGGACCATCAGCCTAACAATGGGTCATTAGCACACTGATGGCTGTTTACTATTCACAGAGGGCTGAGTGATACTAGCAATCACAGCATTGTAAGAGGGGGACAGTTGAACCCAGAGGCCTCCACCCCTGTTTAATGATGGACGATTTCTTTTCACAAAGATGGCCTCCTTTACTCCTCTCTCAAACCATCCTTCTCTGTCCAGGATGTGCACATCTTCATCCCTGAAAGAGTGACTGCTGGCCTGGAGATGAGTGTAGACCGCAGAATCCTGGCCTGATGATGTTGATCTTCTGTGCTGGGCCATCCTTTTGGCCAGTGGCTGTTTAGTTTCCCCGATGTAAGACTGATCACAGCCCTCCTGACACTGAACAGCATACACAACATTACTCTGTTTGTGCCGGGGGACTGGATCTTTGGGATGAACCAGTCTTTGCCGTAATGTATTTTGGGGTTTAAAAGCCACTGGGACGTTATGTTTAGAAAATAAACGTCTCCGTTTCTCTGATACCCCCTCAACATACGGAATGACCACTGGTCTGGGGCTGGGTTCCTCCTTTTCACCTGATGGCTGACTGGAGTCCTGTTTGGGTTTCTTATCTGCTTTCAGGAAGGCCCAGTTAGGATATCCACATTGCTCTAGAGCCTGTCTTGTGTAGGATTTCTCCTTCTGCCTGGCTCCTGAGCTAGTGGGGACGCTGTCTGCTCTGTGATACAGAGTCCTGATGACTCCTAACTTGTGCTCCAAAGGGTGATGGGAGTCAAACTGCAAATACTGGTCTGTGTGGGTGGGTTTGCGGTACACCTCGGTTTGCAAATGTCCTCTATCAGAGACTGAGACCTCACAGTCCAAGAAAGCCAACTTGCCATTTTTTACATCTTCTCGTGTGAACTTGATGTATTTATCCACAGAGTTGATGTGGTCAGTAAAATGTTGGACTTCCTGAGATTTAATTTTAACCCAGGTGTCGTCAACATACCTGAACCAATGACTTGGTGGTGTCCCTGAAAAGGACGTCAAGGCTCTCTTTTCTACCTCCTCCATGTACAAGTTGGCAACAATAGGAGAAACTGGAGACCCCATAGCACACCCATGTTTCTGCCTATAATATTGCTCCCCATATGTGAAGTAGGTTGATTGCAGGCACAGTTTCAAGAGTTGACACAGTTGTTCTGTGGAAAGCGTGGTCCTGCTGCTCAGAGTGGTGTCTGATATTAATCTTAAACTGATCACCTCTACTGCATCATCAACAGGAATGCACGTAAAGAGTGATGTGACATCAAAAGAGACCATTGTTTCATCAGTCTCCATGATGACATCCCTCACCTTATCCACAAAGTCCATGGTGTTCTGTATGTGGTGTTCTGAGCTGCCAACTAAAGGGATGAGTACAGACGCCAGATACTTGGAAACATTGTAAGTGACAGAGTTAATCATGCTAACAATAGGTCTTAAAGGTACACCTTGTTTGTGGATTTTAGGTAAACCATACAGACTGGGTGTGGCCTCCCCTGGGTACAGTCTGTGGTACAGAATACGGTCAATAGCCTTGTCCTGCTCCAAAATTTTCAGGCAATCTATTAACTTCTTCTTGTAACCACTTCCTGGATCTCTTTTCAGAGGTTCATAAGTGGTTAAGTCACTAAGGAGTGTCATAACTTTCTCATGATAGTCTTTCTGGTTCAAAATCACTGTGCACCTTCCTTTGTCTGCTGGGAGAATGATGATGTTTTTGTCCTTGCTCAGAGTGGTGAGTGCAACTCTCTCCTCTCTACTGATGGAAGGTGGTGGTTTGGCATTGCTGAGGCAGGATGAAACTTTGATTCTGAGCTGTTCTGCTTCAGCCTCTTTCATTTTGTTGTTGCGGATGGCTGATTCTGTGGCTGTGATCATCTCCACCAGAGGAATTGTACTTGGTGCAACCGCAAAGTTCAGTCCCCTGGCAAGAATCTCTGTCTCCGGCTGGGTGAGCACTATTCCAATAACAACACATTTTGTGTAGGACAACACGCCAGTAGTCAATTGCATGCCAGGGAGACAGAAAAGTGGGTGAAGAATTTATCTGACAGACAGCTCAATATATATATTAAATAAGGGGCAGATATTATAAGAATTTTTTTCTTCTTTCTGCACTTTTTTCATTCAATTTTTTCTTTTTGATGGTTTTCTTTTGTTTCTTTAAAATGAATGAATTAAAATAAATAAATAAATGGCTTCAAACATCTGCCAAGTTCATGGCATAAACCAACACAGACATGTTCTTGTTTTTAGTATTTTACATCGCATTGTAGCTAATTTTTTTTATTTTTATGTAATTGTCTTGTAATGTTCAGTTCATATGTTTTTTTATGATTGTCTACAGTTGTACTGATAAATATCTCCTGGAGGGTAAACTATATCTTGGCTGCAAGTATCAAGCTGCGAAATCCATTGTTTTCTACAACTGATAGTGGTTGGTCATTAATTACGATGAAGTTTAGCAACTTCTCGGTAAACATTGGAGCTCCGTGGCTTCGGTGGTGTGTTCTTCTTGTTAAGTCCGAAGCAGGCAGTCTGATTTCGGTCAGCTGTGTTCAGTTTGCTCCTCGTCTGAGATGGGCAGACTGAGCGGGGCAGATTGGGCGCAGCTGGTCGGGGTCGGACTGCCTGCTTCGGGTTGAGCAAGAGGAGTGCCTCGCTGAAGCCACGGAGCTTGAACGTCCAACATAAAACTTTACCGCGATTTAATGTGGTGCTATGGCTCTGCAGACATTGCATGTTGCTGTCTTGCTTTATGGTGTTTCTAGTGTAAAATACTTCCACACAGCGGACATGTTTCGATGAAAAGTTGGTTAGCTGTTATCCACAGTGCTGCACATTCAGTCCTCACGTTGTAGCTGGCTGCAAGCTATGAAATAGATTTCCTGAATGTGAGGCGGGTCTTATTACTCTGGGCTCATGAGACACGCCTCCATTCAGGAAATCCATTTCATAGTTTGAAGCCAACGTGCAGAGCAGCTGGCAGAGAATCACATGAGGAGAAGTTTCAACAGACACAGACATGCATCATAGATCGGAAATCTCTGCAGGTTGGATCGGAAAAATCCGATGCGTAAATTATGCTGGTTTCGGAGGCTGATACTGATACCAAATCGGATCGGCCCCATCCCTAATAACCAGAGTGTTTTTGTTATTGCTTGTCCCAGGAAGCGCAGAGTACAGAAAAGTAAAGTTATCTAGCTCACAAGGACAGCCATCTTGGATTTTGTCACTTTTCAAAAAGAACCTTTGCCTATGTGCAGCTACACCCTAAAATGTAAGTCAGTACCTCAGGTATTTTTCAAGTTATCCTGCTCACAATAAGCATGGACGATTGGATGGACTGACAGAGGGATAGTATCTTCAATTCCCCCTCTTTGCTCAGTGACAGGGGACATCAAGCCTTAGTTTGGTTAGCCATTAGCATAGCCTGAGGAAAGCCTTCTGCCATTTTCTTCATACTCTGTGCTCTGTGACTGGTGCCAGTGCTCAAAACGTGATAACTACCGGTATTGATAGCTTTTTGACAGAATATCACCTCAAATTGACTTGACTATCCCCTGAACCGAGAAAAGGAAATTAGAAGTGAGGCATACTTCAAACTTTGTGTTTTTGAAACCATTAGTGAAAAGGCCAGACCTCAGGGGTATCTGAGGCAGGCTTGAAACACAAGAGTCAGGGTGGCTTCTGGGTAATACCAGATGGCTAGGCCTCAGACTGACGAAGCCTCTTGGACGAGGGGCGAAACGTTTCTTTTTAACAAAAAAACGAAGTCCAGATGACATGATTCAACCTTTTTTGTTGTTATATACCTGGATGACTGAGAAAACAAACTTTGTGTTTTTGAAACCATTAGTGAAAAGGCCAGACCTCAGGGGTATCTGAGGCAGGCTTGAAACACAAGAGTCAGGGTGGCTTCTGGGTAATACCAGATGGCTAGGCCTCAGACTGACGAAACGTTTCTTTTTAACAAAAAAACGAAGTCCAGATGACATGATTCAACCTTTTTTGTTGTTATATACCTGGATGACTGAGAAAACAAACTTTGTGTTTTTGAAACCATTAGTGAAAAGGCCAGACCTCAGGGGTATCTGAGGCAGGCGTGAAACACAAGAGTCAGGGTGGCTTCTGGGTAATACCAGATGGCTAGGCCTCAGACTGACGAAGCCTCTTGGACGAGGGGCGAAACGTTTCTTATTAACAAAAAAACGAAGTCCAGATGACATGATTCAACCTTTTTTGTTATATACCTGGATGACTGAGAAAACAAACTTTGTGCATACTTCAAATTCTTGTCTCCTTTATCGTTTTATAATTTTGCATACTCACTTGCTGATGTACTCCCCCGTGAGGACCATGTTGCAGGTCTGACATCTGAAGCAGCTGACGTGCCACTGCTTCTCTAACGCCAGAAGAGACTGACCCTGCTTGATCTCTGCTCCACATCCTGCACAGTCTGCATAAGAGTGTGATAGAGAGAAAGATGATACATATGTACAGACTGTTCCTATGCACTGTGTGCAAGCTTATTGTATTTCCCTCACAAATTTTGCCCAAGCAGGTGTGACGACCACTAACTGGGTAAGCAAAGCAGAAGAAGAGCACAGAATCTGCAAACGATGCATAGCTGCAGAGTCAAACAGCTGAAACAAGGTTCTGTTTTCTGCTATTTGAAACATGTTTGGCTTAGCTTAACCTTTTCTGACCAGTTCCATGGCTTGTAAGAGAAGTACTTATGTCATCAGCGACTGTTCACATTATGTCTTGTCAGCCCTGTGAAATTGTATTTTCAGCAAAACTTTGCAGTTTACTGAGTCACATTTTTGCATCTCCAAATAAATACTGTCATTTGGTGTTTTAGATTTAGGTGTCAAAAACTAAACAGTCTGTCTTTCACTAAAGTAGATTTCTTTCCATTTTAAAATTTGTATTTTAACAATTGAACACTATATAGGTATGAACTCTACTGCGGTTACAGCATGAGTGTCTGAGTGTGCCTATAAATAAAACTAATCTAAATGAGGAAGGAAAAGAAATCTGCTACACCCTCACTGGAGATGTATTAGCAGATGTTTTTGTAGCTCTCCAGTAAAGAAAGGCCAACTAAGAAGTGCAAAATAGTCAAACATTTGAGCATATGAATGTAAACTTTGCCACAGCCAATTTGGGAACCACATTTATAAAGTTCTGACAGGCTCCTCCTTGAATTGCCACCTTATCATGGTAGAGGAGTTTTTGCGCCTGAACAATCCTAAAAGCTATGCTGTCAGGGGCAATTATAATTGTCCCTGGTAGGGTCTCCCAAGGCCGACTGGTTCTAGATGACAGGCCAGACAAAGAGCGATTTTTCTTTTATGGACAAAACATAACAAGGATCTCAGTGTCCCTTGCCCAGACATGAGTTACCATGGAGTAAAGTTGTCATTTCTAACCCAAACCTGAAATCCGTCCCGGACCGACCCAGATTAGGGCCTGGCTGGGCCGTTACAATGTGATTAATGGGTGGGCTGGGCTGGTCTCGGGCTTTTAATTAGGTCAGGATCAGCCTCGATCCAATCATATGATAACATGACCTGCCATACTTCCACCAGGTGCACACGGCTATTTCACCACGAGCTGATTGGCCTTGAAAGAGGTAAAAAGTTCAGTTAAGCTTCAGATGGTACTGTACTGGCAGGCAGCGATGCATTGCCCAAATGGACATTCATTCTGCCGCTGCACTCAGCAGACGCGTGCGGCCAACGACCCAAAGAGGTGAGATCCCAAAGCAGACGCGTGTGTGTCAGAGCTGTCTGCGTGTCTCAGTAATTCACAAGAATGCAGGCAGAAACTGGGTTTAAATGCTTTTTTATGGCCATGAAATTACAAACACCTCTCAGCTCCAAATCTTCTGCCCCGTTTATTCAGCTGTGTCCCTGACCGTTAATAACTATTAAAAAAGTTGCCGTTTTTTCTGGGTTCAGACCTGTAATTACTGTTAATTTGTCGATTCTGGTGGGGTTTCGGAAATTATGACTGTGGGCTGGGGCCAGGTCGGATCCATTTTTTTGGGCCCGAATGCAACTCTACCCTGGAGCCAGGAACGGGGGAGGGGCTCGTTGGTGAGCACCCGTTGACCAAGTTTCTACTCATGGACCCAGTTGGGCTCAACTGAAACATGTAACATGGGTTTGCTTTCAAGTGGGCCAACCACTTGCAGGAGGGGCCAAACGAATCGGGTGCGTGAAGCCGAGGCCATGGTCCTCAGTCAGAAAATGGTGGATTTGTCTCTTCTGGTTGAGCGTGAGGTTCTGCCTCAAGTGGAGGAGTTCAAGTACTGGTATCTTGGGGTTTTGTTCATGAGTGAGGGAAGAATGGAACGTGAGACTGACAGATGGATTGGTGCAACACTGCAGTATTGTGGACTCTATGCTGGTCCATTGCGGTGAAGAGGGAGTTTGGCTGTAATTTCCGTTAACAAATATTGTTTTCTGCAATCATTTAAATTGTCTGTGTTTTTTACATAGAGGTAATGCACATAAATGCAGAATGTAGTCTGTTCTCTTGCCACTGTGGAAAGTTGCAAAAAAAGTTCATTTCAAACGTAAACATTGTAGGAAACCGGTGACTCAATTGACAGTACTTTACTTTTCATTTGACAAAGTAACTCTGTATTCTAATACATTTGATTAATTTGTTACAATCACATATCATCAAAGTGATTGCATACACTACCTACGGTAAAATGTATAGTAAAATGGAGGCAATTTTGTTGCTAGTATTGTATTTACAGTTTAATTACAAGATCATGTTCATCAATATACTAATACTTATCTGAGTTATTAAAATTATTTATTTTTTGATATTCTTCAAAAGGATTCATTCGTGGATTCAAATGGATTATCAAATAGATTAATTTCAAAAGAATCAATGGGGGTGTGGGGAATTTGGGAATTTCTCTTTTTCTAGCAGCCATTTTTCTCCACTTGGTCAATTTCTACTTGAAAATGATTTGTTCACCACTTTAATACACAAGTCTAAATATCCTTTCTGGATATTAAACTCCTGCTGAAAAGCAACTGTGATATATTTAGCATTTGCACTTGGTGTGCTGTCTCACACAGTGTTTCCTCAGAGCGCTGACTGATGAACGAGTACCTGGGGGACGGTTTATTCTCCTAAATAGAGCAATTTGAGGGATACAGTCATTCACTGCTACTTCACCATCTGTTATAACTGCACAGACAGTGAGGCGCAGCCTGCTGTCTGTCTGACACAGTTAATAAAAAACTCACTATAAGTTCCAGTCTTTCTATTGTATCTTCGTAATTTGGCATGTTCTTGTTTTATGCTTAAACAAAATGGTGGTTTTCTTGTCTCAAAAGGTAATTAGTTCAAAACCTACAAAAATATTTGAAACTTTCTGCCTGTTTAGTGTCAGCAATACTGAACAAGTCATGTCTGTTTCTGCTGTATAATAATAAGCTGGCAGATCAACAAAAGAAGGCCAATGAGTGATTCAATACTTCATTAACTAAACGAGCTGAATGGGCCTGGAAACATTAGATCCAGTATGCTGTAGTGCCTGGTGGCCCTAAATGGAACAGACAGAGCGAAACCCTGGACTTACGGCTGGGCCCGTGGATTTTGATGGGTTCATTTGACTTGACAAGTTTATGGGAGCACTGCTGGCACACACAGTCCTTTCCACTGAACGTCACCCTGTCTCCGATTGGGAAGGGTTTACTGAAGAAGAAAAACAGGGAGAAGATTAGAAAACAGTCCACAATAGAAGATTAAAAAGCTCACAGCTGTTGTGTGTTTACATTAAAGTCAACAGCAAGTAGGAACAAATGAGTGCTGGCAGAAGCATGGCTGTGGAAGAGACAGGCCATAATCCTGCTGACACAGTCTGAATACAGCCTCTGGAAAGTTGAAGATGCATTTGCAAACAGTGGTGACGACGGGTTAATAGGAGGTTGATTGTGACAGGAGCACCTGGCTTCTCTGTGATTAAAGAGGCGATAATGTGATGCTGCCACAGGCTTCTGAAAGAAAAACAAGCTCTCTTACTGGGAAGCAAATTTATTAGGGAGCCTGCATGGAGAGCATCCTGATCCTAGCTGCCCATTTCTTGCCCGTTCACCTCATCTCTAACAGAGCAGCTGCAAGAGGGTCACTGTTTCATTCATGTTGACAGGCCGAGAACAACGCCTATAAAATCAAATCCACCATTACACGATGCTCTCTTTTAACTCTCTGTCCTCTCCTCCTCAAGAGACAGATTGATTTCTTTATGACTGGGGAGGATGAGAGAATGAATGGGGAGCTAAAAGGCTTAGGGAAGGCTGTTTAAAAAGACGCAGACGACAGTAATCCTTTTATGTCTCCGCCGAGGCCTGGAGCTGAAGCCAAGACCCAGAGGGGAGGCTGGAGTCGCCAGCACAGCTCAGAATCAGCACACAAGTGCAATGCATCCGTGCACGCTCTCAAACCTTCACAGGCAAACATGTGGCCATGAATCTGTACAGGAGGACGTTTATCACAGTTTTAGTCTGACTCTGTTTGTATATGTGAAAAGAAGCAGCAGTTTACTAGCTTTGAACTAGATTAAAAACTAAAGGCACATTTCCTGCTTAAAACAGAAAGGACAGACACATAAGATAACTAAGCCAGCAGAGACACTCCAAGTCCAGCTCACAAGTTATTCACCATAAAGCTTCTGGTCAACACTAGAAACACTACAGGTGTGCAGTGGAGAGCATCCTGTGCTCCAGCATCAACGTGTGGCATGGAGGCTGCACAGCTGCAGATCAGAAAGCTTTGCAGAGAGTGGTGAAGGCTGCACAGAAGACTGTTGGAGTCAGTCTCCCCTCCATCACAGACATTTACACCTCCATATGCAGGAAGAGGGCCACCTGCATCATGACGTGATTTTGTCTTTCAGGTACACCTGGACCTTTATCTGGACCTGCCATTCTGTGTTCATTTGTCTCTCCTTCCTGTCCTCTCAAACCAGCCAGTCAAAGCAGATGGCCGCTTGTCCTGAACCTGGTTCTGCTGTAGGTTTCTTCCTTTTAAAAGGGAGTTTTTCCTTTCCACTGTTGCCATTGTGCTTGCTCAGGATGGGAGACTGCAACAAAGCCAAGATTCAACTTGTCTGCTGGCCTCCTTAGATAGAAAACTTTACTAATTGGCTTTTCTATCTATGTGAATGTTCCTGTAAAGTGCCCTGAGACAACTTTGTTGTGATTTGGCGCTATATAAATAAAGTGAATTGAATTGAATTGAAGGACCCCACTCACCCAGCACACACACTTTTTGCCCCGCTCCCCTCAGGAAGGAGGTTGAAAATCATTAAGTGTAGAACCACTAGATCAGGGTGATGGTGAAGATCAGAGGTCTGCAATCTGTGGCTCTGGAGCCATGTGTGGCTCTTTGGTCCCTCCGCAGCGGCTCTTTGACCAAAACTAACATAAAACTGAATTTTATAGGATGCTATACCCACAACAAAAAATGACTAGTTTTAGCAGTTTTCCTGTCATTTCCTTTGCAAATATGTGGATACTATTAATAGTATACAAAGTAAATTATACTCCCTTTAACTTTGTTTTATTTCTTCAACGTAGAATACTGAATTTCTCCACAAAAAAAAATAAAATAAATAATAATCACATGTGCCTGCACAGTTCATTGGTTTAGTTTAAAAGAAAATTGGCAATTGGACTTGCGACCTGGATATGGGCACCAGTGACTTCCTGCAAACCAAAAAGAAAGAAGCAAGTAAAGATAATGGATGGATGGATGTATAGATGGATGGATGGATGGAGTCCAGTCTTTTTTTTGTCTCAAAATGTAAAAAATATCAATAAATGTTAACAATCCATCCATCCATCCATTATCTTTACCCGTTTATTCCATTTTGGGTCACGGGGGTCGCTGGTGCCCATGTCCAGCAATCACTGTGCGAGGGGCGGGGTACACCCTGGACGGGTCGCAAGTCCATCACAGGGCCACATAGAGACAAACGAGACAAACAACCATTCACTCTCTCACTCACACCTAGGGACAATTTAGAGTTACCAATCAGCCTAACATGCATGTTTTTGGACTGTGGGAGGAAACTGGAGTACCCGGAGAAAACCCACGCATGCACGGAGAGAACATGCAAACTCCACCCAGAAAGGCCCCTGGACCGGGGTTTGAACCAAGGACCTGCTCGCTGAGAGGCAGCAGCTCTACCAGTTGCGCCACCGTGCTGCCCTATGTTAACAATCATTGGATGTTTTTAGTTTCATAATTTCACGCCTAATGGCCAGAAAAGTCCCCTTTAACAAACTTCAAGTGGCCCATGGGCCACCAGTTGATAATGACAATTGTAGCATGTTTTGTGGCTCTGGACACGTTTCATTTAGTGAACGAAGGGGCAGAAATGGCTCTTTTGATCACAAAGGTTGCAGACCCCTGCACTAGACTGAGGAACAAGCTGTTAGGCTCATGAATCCCTAATCATGATTATCACTGTGAAAAAAAAAAAAAAATCACTGTAATGCCATTTTGATTGGCGATATGTGCTACTGTTTATCCATGCTGCTGATCTTATGCTGCTGATCTTACGCTGCTGTGTTCATTCTTACTCATCTGCTCACACAGACTCATGTTTGTGCTGCTGTTGTTCGACGTATTGTTTTGTTAGTGTTTAGCGTATTCTTTGTTTATATCTTAGATCCTTGTTTACTGTTTCTTTTTACACTTTATATTTATGCTATTGTTGGATGTAACTGAAGCCCTGTGCACACAATTTCGTTCCACCTCATGTACCACATGTGATGCGAATCACAATAAAACCTTGACTCGAACTGGAAAAGAGCAGTCATATCTGATAATACATGCATTTCCTTTACATAAGTACTATAATTAAGCATCTGCTCTAAAACTCCAGCTCGGTTTTATTGAGGTTGTCGATATGTAGGCACTGGAGCATCCTTTTTTACACAGTCACAAGGAAGCTTTTATGATTTGGAAGTTTGATCCAAGAATGTTCAACTTAGAGTGTGATGACATCACTCACTCTCATTTTTGGATTCATTGCTCAGACGTTTTGTAAACAAATTATTTCTATTCCTAGAAACATTTTACTTTTTAAGCCATTTGTATACCAAAGCATAGAAACTTGTATTTTTTCCACCAGTCTGTCTGCCACCACTAAGACTTAATGTTTCTCAAATCCCCTGAAAGTGCATGGTGAACACATCGAAACTCTCATAGACATTTATTACAAATGAGCTCAGAATATAACTCATTTAACTCTGGAAGCGAAGGGTCTTTAGTGTTTGATGAGCAGATGCTGCTGTATTTTACAATTTAGGATTCTTTTGAATAGGACTTTTATTTATGCACAGTGCATAACACAGTTATTTGAGGGTTAATTTCTAATCTACATTTATTTCTGTCTATTTAAGAGCGCTATCAGGGTGTGAGAGACAACTGTGCAGTTACCACGGAGACTGAAATAAGTCACTGGCCACAACTTCAAAAGTTTTTTTTTTTTTTAAATGTATCTTCTTATTCACTCTATACATCAAAACAAAGACATTTTGTCACCTTAGTTTATTACAGTACCCCAAAAATATTGGATTTTAGTGAGTAAAGTTGATGAATGTACACATTTCAAGCAGTATTTACAGTGGCACCCTACAAAAAGTATTCAGAAATGATCTAATTTATAATTTACTGTATTGAGCTGTTAAACAAAGCTGAAGCTGGAGTAGAAGTTTAAGCATCATGATGTTTTTATGGGCTGTCTGATTCACATCTAAGCATGAGAAACTAAATATTTTCCGTGTAGTCTGACCACACAGAATATTCAAGCTTAAAAAATACTGTGACAGTGAAGAAGTCTTATTGTGACCTTGTCTTTACCTGTGTTACTCTCACTCCCTGAAGACACTCTGCCTTGTCAACCTTTTCGACGCTTTAAATATTTACACGTTACATATTTCATGCATGACTTTTTCTTTTTACCTCAAAAGGGGATGATATTTTAGGCTTTTGTGACATTCTTTATTATCACTGACACTGAAAAGTAATCTTACTTTAGAGCTGAAGGAAAAAAAAGAAGACAAATATGTTGCAGATGCAGATTCAGAAAAAAACACAAGGTTGGTAAAACTGAAAACGAGGAAGTGGAAAGAGAGAAAAGGTAAAACGTTGAAAAAGACAAAACAAAGACCAGAAAGGAGGAGAAGTAAATGTGGTACAAGTAAAATTCCATCCATCCATCCATTATCTTTACCAGCTTCTTCCATTTTGGGTCACGGGGGGTCGCTGGTGCCCATGTCCAGCAATCACTGTGCGAGGGGCGGGGTACACCCTGGACGGGTCGCAAGTCCATCACAGGGACACATAGAGACAAACGAGACAAACAACCATTCACTTTCTCACTCACACCTAGGGACAATTTAGAGTTACCAATCAGCCTAACATGCATGTTTTTGGTCTGTGGGAGAAAACCGGAGCACCCGGAGAAAACCCACGCATGCACGGAGAGAACATGCAAACTCCACCCAGAAAGGCCCCTGGACCGGGGTTTGAACCAAGGACCTGCTCGCTGAGAGGCAGCAGCTCTACCAGTTGTGCCACCGTGCTGCCTCAAGTAAAATTCAATTCAATTCAAAAATACTTTATTAATCCCAAAGGGAAATTATTTGTTGTTGTAACTCGTTATCTTCATTTCATTAAGAGAT